CAAGTCACCCCCAATTAAACTTTTTTTCTGATAAACTATATAAATGTGTGTCTAATCGTGCTGCAGACACATGTAGTTAGTAGTTTTGCATTCTAGTGCATTTTAGTTAAAATTTTAATTTTCTGCCGAAAACTGTCGGTGTTGTGCCGTTGTCAGGTAAAAACTCTGCACTGCAGTTGAATTTAAATCTGCCATCGCTATTGGCTAAGAGGTACCCTAGAACGTTAGCTGGTACCATATGATGTCACGATGTCGTTGTGAGCCTGTGTGTGTGTGTGTGTGTGTGTGTATTTGTTAGCAGCGTCTCCCTCTCAGTCTGCTAGCCAACAGCATTTGTTGCATTTTTCAAACAGGAAGTGGGAGCAGAGTAATACTCTGGTAGGGGGTAACTTGTTCTTTAAAGAGCACTAATCCTTTCTATCAGAGCCACGATGAGCAGCAACATTCCTGCTCTAAATGTTACACTCTGCTGTGTTAATATGCAGTCCCTGCCTGCTGCTGGACCAAGGTCTAATCCAGGTGTGTGTGTGTGTGTGTGTGTGTCTTTTTGTTATGCACCACTCTGTCTCTAGCGGGGGTTTAAAGAGGGATTGCATTAGAGGAAGGATGGCTTTCAAGTGGGGATTAGGCTAAAACTGGGTCTCTCAGGGTCATTATTCAATAGCCAGCGAGAGGCACGGGGACCTCCAGGTACCCGCCAGGGAGTGGGCCGAGTGTGACGACTTCACCTGTAATGAAAAGCAAAGAATCCAGGAATGTGCGCCGCATACCACATTGTTTCTGGACACTTGGGACAAAGGACGTCTTCCACAAATCTCTCTTCAGATGGCTTGACTGGAGCTGCATGTTAACGCCTCTCCGGTATCCGGAGCCATTTTGATTGATAAATCACACGAGAGGACATGTTTGCTTTCTGAGGACAAAGAATAAGCTCACAGGACGAGCAGCTGCAGGTTCAGAGCCTATTATTAGAATTTTTGATGCATGAATCTGATTTTGTTGACTAGAAGAAGTAGAAAAAAGGCTCAGAGCGAAATGTGGGAGACATGCTGTATCTCTCAGAGTTCAACCAGTCAACACGTGACTAGATTTCAGGGCTGCGGTGCATAAAAATATCTTAATACGGTTCCATTTGCACCCTGTGGCTTTTCTCAGGGAGCCAGAAGTCAACCAGACAGCTTCGCTTACAGATTTATTCTAAAAGTCTGACTTAGAAACTATATGAAAAGGGCAAGGACTTAAAATAGGCCTTAAAAAGTACTGGATCTGGTTATCATTCCCATGTCCACAACGCCGGCGTCATCAGAGCCGCTCTGTGATATTTGGACGGCGTGAATTGGAGCTTGGACGTTGGCTGGGTCACACAGCACACACTTTCTACCTCATATGGAGGTAAATAAATGACTCAACCAAACATCAGTGCAGCGATCATTTGGAGCACTTTGGATGATAAATGTTCTGAGTGGTTCCACGGAATTAGAAAATGCCGTTAAAGACCGTTTGGTCTGAAAATAAGATGGTTTTGTATTTATGCTTTTTGCTTAAATTTTGAATTTTAGCAGCGATAGTGCATTTGTGTTGACTGATAAAGGAGTTTTCACTTTAATTTATTTTAATTAGTACTTAATTAATTGGCTGAAGCTTCTCTGTGGAAAAGCAGCCTGGAAACAGCAAAGAGAAAACTTTTTTCACTGTGGCGCTTCCTGCAAGCCTCCAGTTGTAGCATCACAGGACAAAAACTGTATTTCTCCTGTTTACGCTTTCGTGAAACAAGATAAATGCCCCATCATTGCTGAGAACTTTAGTAAAATTAAAACAAAACCTCCAGGTTATTTTTAAGTCAGTATCTTGATGATCTTCCACAGCTAGCAACTAGTTGTCAACATATAATTGCAGAAAATGTGGAAAATTTAAATTAGAATCTCAGAATTAGTAGTTCAACACATGTGAGCTGATTTCTATCAGACCAAAGGTCACAAACAGATCAGGGTTGAAATCAGACTTGATAAGGCGAGGAGCTTCATTAGGGAACATTTCTGCAGGAGCTCCTTATTCTGAAACGTTGGTTCGGGCATCAGATTAGTTCACCCTTTTTTCCTGGAGGTTTTCCGGGCACGTCCCACAGGGAGGAGACCCTGGGACAACCCCAAAACTCCAAAAAAGGGATTTCACTTCCTCTCTGTAATTGGATTTTTTTTTTTACATGTCCAACATCAGCTCCAGACCCTGTGACCCACCAGGAAAAGCCTCCAACAGTAATGAGTTACAAACATCAGCAGCTCAGCGTCGCGTCTCTTTTGTTCTGTTCCTAATGTGCAGCAGCGCTACAGCTGTGGTTTAGATGTTTGTTAAACATGCAAAAGCAAAAAAAAAAACGCTAAATAATTTTGTTCGACACGCCTCTTTCAGGCCATGTAACAATAGCTAAAATATGCTAATTTCTTATAAATTGCTTTGTAATTAAAACATTTTATTAAAGTGTTTATTAAAGATGATTAAATGCATTATGCATGTTATCCACACGTCACCAGCCTTTAAAGTTCCAATTTTCTGCATGAAAAATGGTTAAAGATCCATAATGCAAGTTTTGTTTTAAACATATTCCGGTGAATCGTTTATAAACAACTATTATAGAAATAAAATGAGCGGGGTTACAGGAAGACAGAGTAAAATAGCAGGTTGAGGGAGGTAATCTGGGTGTTTTTCAGCTGGAGCGGTGAATTCAGATCCGTCTGAGATTGACTCAAATCTCAAACCAATCCCTCGTCTCCGCCGGCTTGTCAGGATCTTCCCATGAGATATTTTCCTTCCTGGCTCACTTCACTGTTTATAGCATGAAACCGTCTCAGGAAGCAGACATATCATCATCGACCATTAGCAGCTCAAACCAGACAGACGGGTAGCAAATAACTTATCAGGACCAAAGAAATGATCTTATAATCGGTGAGAAATCACAAAATCACATGAAGCACTTTATGAAGCAGGCAGACAATAACTGATGTAAATCAGATGCACGAAATACAAAAATCATCTGGCAGCTAGTTTTTTCTTTGTTTTGGGTCCTTCAGTTAAAACTGAATAAAGAAATTCCTGGGCAGTGAACCTAGCACAACCTGGTGCCAATTCATGCCAACAATAACGAATCAAATCACAAATGAATAAAATCTGATTATTATTATTATTCCAATAATTTTATTCATCTTAATTAAAACAAAATGAGATCGGCTGAAAACTGTCAGCAAGTTGGAGCTGAACAGAAACCCGTTAATCTGGATTTTTCTCTAAAAAAACAGAATCAGAATAAAAAAAACACAATAAATTAACTCAAAATAAGATTTGTACATAAATATTCTGAATTTGTTTGTATCATTAGAAATAACAAGGCCTGCATCACTTTCAAAGACAGCTTCCAGGTACGTTTTTAATCTCTCAGAGCAAAAATTTCTGATGCATCAAACAAGCTGCAGGTTTGATGCTGGTGGTGCTGTTCCTGTCATGCTGACAGCTGAACGCGAGAACACGCTCAGAGAGATAAACGGTGACGCATTTAGCTGCTTCTGATCTCACGGTTAAAATTTCTAACATTCAACTGAAACTCTTGATTAAATAATCCAAAAGTCTCCTTCAGTTTAAACGTTTTCTGCAACAACGGAGAAGGAGACAAAAAAGATGAACTAAGAACTCAGTAACATCAAACACGACTTCTAAAAGGAGCTTAGTCACGATCGCTTCTCTACACGGGCCGACTGTTTCCGAGCATCTCACGGTTTCTTCCTCTAAGACCAGAAAGAGGAAACAGAAGATGGGGAAGTGACCAGACAACCATCGAGCTGTTCACGCTGATGCTGCAGGAGCTTTGCATCGTCATGACCTCAAACACGGCCTTGCACACAAACAGGCTTTTACCTAGTATTAAAACCATGAGCGCTTCACACAAAACTTGGAATAAACAGTTAACAGTACTTCATAAACCCTGATATGCATGTAAATGTAATTAAAGTTTCATGTGAAATCTTTGTTTCAGCAGCAAAAGAAGCTGCTGGAGCTTTAAAACAAGCTAAATGTATTTTACCATCCCATAATAAGATGCATGAATTGTCAGAATAATAATTTTATTTTAAACAGAAAGAAATCTTCAAACGGTGCAAACATTGTCTCTTCATACGTCTACATGGATGTAGTTTTACTGAAGCCTTAACCCTGGTCCTCAGAACTCACTGCTGCAGCTTTTAGATCAGAGCTCTTCCATCCTGGTCCTTGAGGGACACTTCCTGCATGCTTTTTCAAGTTTCCCTGCACCAACATACCTGGTTTGAATCACAGATGAATCAACAGGCTTCTGAAGAGCTTTGGGACCTGCCGAAAAGTTGATTCGACCATCAAATCAGTGGCTGGAGCAGGAAAATGGCTAAAACATGCAGATTACTGGGCCTCTAGGACCAGGCCCAATTAGCTCTGATTTTTCTCCTCAGGATGACAAATAAAAATGAGACGATTGATTTAACTATCTGTAATGATGTGGTCTTTGCAGAACCACATTTAAATCATTGCCAAGAAAGTCAGTTACAAAGCCAAGCCTGACCGTGCCGGTTGTAGCTGCGTGGAGACAAGCCCTCACCGCAGACACACCTATGAATGTTTGGTTTAAAAGAAACCAGAAAACCACACAAACTCATCAGGAAAGCTTCAAACCCCAGAATCTTCTCACTGAGAGGAGAGTGGTAGACCACCTGGACCAACCTTAGTCCCCATCAGTGCAACTCTTAGTGATAACAGAGGGCTTTACGACAGCACTAACTCACCATTCACCCCAGATGTTTTCGTGTTGGGCTAACTTGTGCTGAATGGACGGAAACAGTCAGCAAAAGCACCCGAGTGTGTCCTGATGTACTAAAACTAACTGTAGTCCTGATAAGGTAAAAGGGGAAGTCCCGACTGAGTTCTTTGTTGTTTCAAAATCCCGATATCATAGCACATCTGGATTTGATCACATCAAAGACCCCGATTACTCCATACTGCAAAAGCGTTTCACAATATTTAACTAACTCTCTTCTGCACGGATATAAAAGATGCATTTGTCCACAGGGACACGTGTGTGAGACATTTTCATTACTTTGGTTTGACCTCAACTCTCAGAGAAAGGTAAGGACTTCATTATTCAACATTTACATACATGAAAATATAAATGAAGAGTCTGCACTAAAAATGCAGAATTTTATAGAAATTCAAAGTTTAAGCTCATTTCTATGATTTTAGCGTGTTCTCATGCAGGCATGGGACTTTTCCTCTAAAGGTTGATTAGAAAAAAACAGAGCCACTAAAGATTTGTAGTGAGATCAAATTCTGCTCTGTGTTTGTTTGCAGGATGAAGAGCACGGTGGCGTTTCTCGTTCTGTCCATGCTCGTCCTGATGGCTCAACCCTCCGAGGGGTTTTTCGGATTGCTGATGAAAACCATCCCTCACGTCATTGGGGGCATTTCTAGGTAAGGACTTCATTCATCGGTGTTTCTACGACCTTTCAGAAAGCATATCACGGTTGTCCTACTGAGCCCTTTGAGCTTCTAGAGCCCATGTGTGCCGAGTCCAGCTCCGACTAAAACAAACAAAAACATCTGTGTCTTCTAAAATGTTGTAATTGTTACAAATAGCCTTTTCCCCCATTGATTTCTTGCTTTACTTTACAAGTCTGATTAAAAATCGACGTGGGGTGGAGCAGGTGGACCAGCAACATTTGGACCAGAACCAAGACCTGCAGCAACTAGACCAGGACCAGCAACTAGACCAGGACCAGCAGCTGGAGCAGGAGAAAATTGACCAACAGCAGCTGGAGCAGGAGAAGTTTGACCAGAAGAAGTTGAACAAGTTTTTGCTTAAACACATAGCTTGATGACACCGTTTTGTTCGTTTGAATTCCAGCTGATCAGAGCCTCGGCCTCCTTCCCTCAGGAACATGATGCAATAAAAACATAACGTGTTCATTTGCACATTAAAACATGTTTCAAATTGTCTATAATTAAACTTTGCAGGAAAAGCAAAGAAATGTGTTTGGTTGATTATTTCTTTGTTCCAACAACACTTCCTGATACTAATAACCATGAAACTCACACACTTCAATTAATCCTGCACTCTCATTATGCTGGAATATCCTTCGTAACATTTGTGTGTGTGTGCGTGCGTGTGTGTGTGTGTGTGTGAGTGTGTGTGTTAGGGGTTGCTTCTCACCCAAGGGAGTGCACACACTCACATTTTAGCATCCAAATGCAGCATTAAATAAAAGTTGGACCAAGTCATCCTCCAAGAGGAACTCCTCTCATCCCTCCTACAACAGTTTAGTGATAAAGAATGTTTTTTCCATCCAGATGAAGCTTCATGCCATATGACTAACTTTAGAATGGAGTGAACAAAACCTCAAAATTAAATTATTGTGAGAGTTGCACTCTGCCAAGGCTGACCTTTGTCACCGATTACGTACCCTTTATGGACAGGATTTCTAGGCGCAGCCAAGGAGTTGAGGGCATACGCTTCGGTGGCTTGAGGATCGGGTCTCTGCTTTCTGCAGATGATGTGGTTCTGTTGGCTTCATCAGAACGGAATCTCTGGCTTTCGCTGGAGCGGTTCACAGTCGAGTGTGAAACGGTTGGGATGAGATTCAGCTCTTCTGAATCCGAGACCATGGTCTTGAGTTGTAAAAGGGTAGAATGCCTTCTCCAGGTCAGGGATGAGGTCCCGCCTCAAGTGGAGGAGTTTAAGTATATCTAGTGGTGAAGAGAGAGCTGAGCTGGAAAGAGGAACCAGGAGACCTAAAGTAAGATCCAGGACACGTTGGAGGGACTGTTTCTCTCGTCTGGCCAGGGAACAGGAGCTGGCCCTGGTGGCAGGGGAGAGGGAAGTCTGGGCCTCTCTGCTTAGGCGGCTGCCTCTGCAACTCGACCCCAGGATAAGTGGATGAAAATGGATGGATGGGGAACGCGTTGCTAATCACCAAGAGGCTGGAGGACAAATCAATTCTGACAAACTCCAAACAGTGATAATCAAAAGTTGCCATAAGTCAGGATTTAGGTTTTAAACGCTGCACTTAGAACAGGTTTAGAGTCAGGGGTCACTGAGGTCAGCCAGGAATGGCCTCAGCTGCTGACATTCCTCCAAGGATCCATCCGGGCCCTCTCTACTCTGTTTGGCGACATGCTCTTGCAGCCACTCACATCTGATATAAAAATGAACGGTATTGACTTGAATTGTATACAGTAAACCATCTAGCAGCCATGCAGGCCGCCTAAAGCACACAATCAGAAAGAAAACAAATGGCTTTAGATGCTGGTGTTTCTAGTTTTTCTGTTCAAGCATAATCAAAACATTTGCAAATAAAAAAAAACCCAAAAACATCTGAAAGTATTTGCTGGAGACATTAAATCTGCATTCATTACTGCCTTTTGGCCTCATGTTTGCAAGTCTGTAAAACACTACCTAAACTTTGAGAATAAGGAAGAAGCGCTCTAGTTAACCAAACTTATGTTTTATGTATAAAAGGAGGAACACCATCATTAACACTTGGTTTAAGTGTTGCACAATAAAGCCGGCGCTTCACTTGAATATAAAGGAGATGTGAGCCCACCACATCTGTTGGGTTTGGCTCTGAATAGGAGGAAAGGTAAGAAAACACACTGATGTTATATTTAAATAGGAGAAATGTAAAGATAACAGCTCTTTGCTTGTTTTTTAAATAAAACATATTTGGAGTTTCTTTGCTAGTTCTTTAAAGAAAATTTAAGTCTATGAAATAATTCTCAATTTTGGAAAATTGGGAATATAGCCTCATAAAAAAGCTAAAAATGTAAGAAAAGCCTAAAATTAAGCAAGTGTTGTTTAAATGTGTAAATATTTCTATTCTAAGTTGACGCGTCTAACCCTGACCTAGAGGTCTTTTCCTTTGCAGGATGAAGCTAACGGCGGCGTTTCTGGTTCTGTCCATGGTTGTCCTGATGGCGCAGCCCTCAGAGGGCTTTTTAGGACTGCTGTTCAATGCAATCCCTCACATCATTAAAGGGATTTCTAGGTAAAGAGTTTTTCACTAGTTTCACCAATTTTCTGTTATCAGACAACTTTTCAGAAGAGCTCCAGTTTGTCCCAATAGCTAACACGATGAAGGAATAGCCATGTTTCCATTTCAGGAACTTTCTGGGAGGGAGAAAATTGATCGGGAGACACGATGGCTCGGTCCTTCAGCCGTTGTGTCTCCGTACTAAATCAGCCCTTTCAGGACACCAGCATATCGCCACTGCTTCTGCAGTGAGTGATGTCACCGATCAGCGCCATGGCGTCCACGGACATTAACGAGTTTATCAAAGTACGCCGTAATTTAATCCTTTCAGGGGAGAGCGGCTATGTGATGTAAAAAGTTGTGTTCAATGAGTGCGTTGGTGTTGTGGGGAGATTTACAGTTATAGATGTTTGAAGTTTAGATTTTTAAACGCAACTTCTGCGATATTTCCTACTGAGTGACAACCAACCAGCTAACCACCCGACGACTTTACTGGGATTCTCCGAGTACCTGTCCCAGTTCCTGATATGGTCTGGGCTGCAAACTTCGGGTAAAATCACCTGGAAGTTCCCTCCCTTTTCAAACGAACCCTTCATGACACCTCCTCAAAGTTTCTCTTGAAACTCCACGTTTAATTCTTCAAGTTTTACAAATACTTTCATCTGATCATGTTTTTCCCTTTACTTCACAAGTCTGGCTGGAGGCGTGGAGGAGCAGGCAGTCCAGCAGGAAGTGGACCAGGACGTGCAGCAACTGGACCAGGACCTGCAGCAGGAAGTGGACCAGGACGTGCAGCAACTGGACCAGGACCTGCAGCAGGAAGTGGACCAGGACCTGCAGCAACTGGACCAGGACCAGCAGCAGGAACTAGATCAGCTGGACCTGGACCTGCAGCAACTGGACCAGGACCAGCAGCAGGAACTAGATCAGCTGGAGCAGAAAAAGCTGAACCAGAAGTTGGTCAAGCTTTTACATAAATAAAAAAAAGAAGCCATTCTGAAAATACTTCTTTGCTGCTTAAAAGCATGAACTTGGCCAAGCCTTTCTCAAAAATACATTATTGCTTTTGCAGATTTTATAAACTGTACAAAATGTTCAACATGTTTCAATTCTTAGTTTTAAGACTCTCGCTCTCCTGTTTTATTAAAACTCGTTTTGATGAAAAACTTCTCTGGTTTCTGATATTAGAGATGTTGTCTCAGTCTTTACTTCAGGAACATGATGAAAAACAATCTAACACATATTTCATCTCTTTGTACTTGCAAACATGTTCTCAATAATTAAACTTTGCAGGAAAAGCAAAAAATAATTAATCTTTGAGAAATTTCCTTGTATGAACTACACTTCTAAAGAAAGAAAGAAAATGATATTTTATAGCACCTCTCAAGATAAAAATCATGAGGTGTTTCACCAAAAAATAAAGTATGTTTAAAATGAGAAAACATTTTTGAAATTGTGATCAAAAATAATTATGTAAGGAAAGGGAGAGAGAAAATGAATAGGAAAGGGGAAAATCAGTGGATCGCAGGGAAGGGCCATAGGGTTCCACAAAAATAAACAATAATTAACAAGAGTGCTTCTAGACCTGCAGAAAGAGAAAGAATAGAAGAAAAAAAAGGGACACAAAACATTACATCAGGAGCAAGCTCTCACCGCGTCAACCTGATGGTGAAATATAAAATCAACATTGTTTAACTGAACAATCACACAATAATAAATCATAGTGCATGTAGTGGCAACGACAGCCTTAAGACATGTGTTGAACGTGCCCAAGCCCATACTTTTGAGAGCACCATGTGAGCACCTGTGTGTGTACACACGCTTGTTTATGTAAGGTTTCTCTATAGGAGCGTCCAATAGAGAGTGTGAGGGACCACAGATCTGCCCCCCAAAGATGTGTAGGAGATGGGGGGAGCTCCAAGTCCCAGAGATCCAGGCGCTGCCCCAGAACACAGGAACCCCAAGGAGACTGCAACCAGAAAGGCCCCCGCCCCCCTCGAGAGGCACAGAGGATCGCCCCGGGGGGCCACAACCAGCAGCCAGCAGAGTCCCGGGAGATATCAGCAGCAAGCCCACAGGCCCGCCGGCAGCCTCCCACCCCCTAGCCGGCCGAGCCCGGGACCCAGCGACAGGCATCTTCCCACTGCTTTCTCCTCTTCTTGCCAGTGGGAAAGCTGTGTAAACAAACATCCCTTCCCTTGTTGCCGTTTTTGTCCTAATCTCTCTTTGTGTACAATTCATGAGTTCGTGGCTTGGAGCAGTTGGACAGGAAGCAAAGCTAGAGCCGGGCTAGCTATTGTAGCAATAAGAAAGGCATGTGATGCAAAAGGGCATTACCCTGTCCAGCCATCTTCATTCAACCATTACCAACCAAACCCAAACCAAATGCTGTTTATAACCATCTCCCCATAAGCCAGCCTCACCGTCTGGGGAACCGCCATAACAAAAGTCCTCTCCTGCTTCCTTATCTCGGCTGCAAGTTAAACCACGAGAAGACTCTTACCTAATAAAAGAATCATGTGCTTTCTACACAAATATTTTCTCACTTTTTTCCACGGTCTGGAATCGGTCCTTCTCCACAATCTTCCTCAGGGTCCGGTCACCTCTTCTCCTTGTGCAGCGTTTTCTGCCGCACTTTTTCCTTCCCACAGACATCCCACTGAGGTGCCTTGATACAGCACTCTGGGAACAGCCTATTCGTTCAGAAATTTCTTTCTGTGTCTTACCCCCTTGCTTGAGGGTGTCAATGATGGCCTTCTGGACAGCAGTCAGGTTGTCAGTCTTACCCATGATTGCGGTTTTGAGTAATGAACCAGGCTGGGAGTTTTTAAAAGCCTCAGGAATCTTTTGCAGTTGTTAAGAGTTAAGTAGTTGATTCAGATGATTTGGTTAATAGCTCGTTTAGAGAACCTTTTCATGATATGCTAATTTTTTGAGATGGGATTTTTGGGTTTTCATGAGCTGTATGCCAAAATCATCAATATTAGAAACAATAAAAGGCTTGAACTACTTCAGTTGTGTGTAATGAATCTAATATACATGAAAGTCTAATGTTTATCAGTACATTACAGACAATAATTAACTTTATCACAATATGCTTGTTGAGAAGGACCTGTTTAATAAAGTTAAACATGAGGTTTGATTCATCATCTGGATATTGGATCCATGATGCTCTAACTGTACATTTTACAGTTTTATGGAGTAGAGAAGTTAAACAAATTCACCTGGAGGCGACTAAATGTACTAAATTACAGAAGTCCAAGTTTAAATTACATCTCGTCTCCGTGTTTTTTCTACAGTAACTTACTTTCCTCTATTGACTCCCACACATTTTATGCATGTGATGAAAAAAGAGCCTCCAGAAAACTTTAGAAGGGAAGAGAGATAGATTGATTGATTTATTCCAGGTTGTGTTTTGTGCTTTTTTGCATATTTCCAAAGTGCAATCTTTTCAAATCTATATGATGTCATAAACCCGTTACTTCCTGTTCTTTTGTGCTGATAGACATTTCTAAAAACAAAAGGATTTTCAGGGAAACTGTGGTAGCACAGAAAAAGTTAGCATTTCCCTCCCTAATTGAATGAAAACCAATAAAGAACTTCTCAGGGTCTCTTTAAGATGAGACGTCTTTCAGAAAACCACCAGAAAGTGTGATTACACCTGGATTAAACAAACGATTGGCCTGTGGGTTCTTATACTCTGCTGGTTTGACAGGAACTTCCTGAGGAATGTTGGGTTTTCATCATCATACAGTACAAAGCAGCCTATCATACTCATATTATCTATTTACTTTAACTGATCTGCAACATATGATGTTCAGGACCAATCAGCTAGTTACAAATCACCAATTTACTTTCTCTACAAAATAAAAGCATGAAGTAAAATATAAATCTATGCAGTTCAATAATGGATCTGATTCCACCCAAACTGTCACACTAAAGGCTGGAATGATGACTCAGCTAAAATATGTTTTACCCTGATTCACCTGAACTGAACTGAGATGTTTAACGTAAGGAAGTGGAGTCAAGTGTGACCCAACACTGGCATCAAGATGGAGATAAGCTGACCAACTGTCTGGCCCACATGCTAAGGTTGAGGGTTAGGAATTTTTGCAACATAAACTATTTCCCAATATTATAAACAGCTGTTTGCATATAAAGAGGTTTACCAGCCCAGCAGGGCACAGACAGAGACGGGCCTGCTTTCTGCTTGAACTGCTTGTTGATCAACCAAAGGAAAGGTAAGGACTCGTTGTTTAAATTACATTAATCTGTGAATTTCTGGAACAAGACACTGTAGGGCAAATAAGTATTTGGCAGCCATTGATTTAGTATTTTGTCCCACCTAAAAAGATCAAATCTGGGATTTCCATCATAGGTATAGTTCAACTGTGAGACAGAATGCTATAGAAATCCAGAAAATCACGTTATGTGAATTTAAATACATTTGTTTATCGGTGCAGAAAATACGTTTCCAGTCAATAACAAAAGTTCACCTCAAAACTTTGTAACCTTGGTTGGCAATGATAGATGTGAAACTTTTGCTGTAGGTAGCTGGTATTTTGGCTCATTCTTCCATGTACGTCTTCTCTAGAGCTTTGATGTTTTTGGTGCTGTCGCTAGGCAACGCAGACTTTCTATGGCTACGCCCTCCACAGATCATCTGGTGACTGGCTAGTCCACTCCAGAACCTTGAAATGCTTCTTATGTAGTCACTTCTTCATTGCCCTGGTGATGTGTTTGGGGCCATTGTTGTGCTGGAAGAGCCAGCCACGTCTCCAATGCTCTCGCTGAGGGTAAGAGCTTTTTGCCCAACATGGCCCCGTTAATCTTTTCCTTAATAAGAAACAGTTGTCCTATCCCCTTTGCAGAAAAGCAATCACAAAGCATAATGTTTCCACCCACGTGCTTCACAGTGTACAAGTGTTCTGAGGACTAAACTCAGCACTTTTCCACCTCCGAACACGGCCAGTGGCGACTGAACCAAAGAGTTCTGTTTTAGTCTCACCTGAAATTCTCCCAATCTTCGTCATCATCTTCCTCCGCTTATCCGGGTCCGGGTCGCGGGGGCAGCATCCCAACTAGGGAGCTCCAGACCGTCCTCTCCCCAGCCACCTCCACCAGTTCCTCCGGCAGGACCCCAAGGCGTTCCCGGACAAGATTGGAGATGTAACCTCTCCAACGTGTCCTGGGCCGACCCGGGGGCCTCCTGCCGACAGGACATGCCCAAAACACCTCCCCGGGGAGGCGTCCGGGAGGCATCCTGACCAGATGCCCAAACCAACTCAACTGACTCCTTTCGATCCGGAGGAGCAGCGGTTCTACTCCGAGTCCCTTCCGAATGTCCGAGCTCCTCACCTTATCTATAAGGCTGAGCCCGGCCGCCCTACGGAGGAAACTCATTTCGGCCACTTGTATCCGCGATCTCGTTCTTTCGGTCATTACCTAAAGCTCATGGCCATAGATGAGGATTGGGACGTAGATCGACCGGTAAATTGAGAGCCTGGCTTTCTGGCTCAGCTCCCTCTTCACTACGACAGATCGGCTCAGCGCCCGCATCACTGCACACGCCGAACCAATCTGCCTGTCCATCTCCCGATCCCTCCTACCGTCACTCGTGAACAAGACCCCGAGATACTTAAACTCCTCCACTTGAGGTAGGACCTCTCTCCCGACCCGGAGTTGGCAAGCCACCCTTTTCCGGTCGAGAACTCTCCCAATCATGCTCAGGACCTTCCAGATAGCTGGCAAGTTTTAGATGGGGCTGGACTTGTGCAAGCTTAAGCAGGGGGACCTTTGGATCGCTGCAGGACTTTAATCCTTGACAGTAATGTGTTACTAATAGTAACCTTTGTTGCTGTGGTCCCAGCTCTCTTCAGCTCTGGCCCGAGGTGAGATCTTGCATGGAGCCCCAAGTCGAGGGACACTGTCAGTCTATTGTAGATTTGCTCATTCAGTCTTGTGCATGTGTACAATCTTGTCCCTTGTGTCCTTGGACAGCATTTCCATGGTGGAGGTTGGAGTCTGACTGTCTTTTATACGGATAACGAGTGTAAACAGGTGCCACTGATATGGCTAAGGAGTGGAGGATAGAGAGCTTCTTAGAGAAGTAGTAACAGGTCTGCGAGGGCTTGTTTGTAGGTGCTAAATACTTATTTTCAGTGACAGTTCAAGTGTATCTAAACCCTTCTTTCCACAGGAGCCGTCAGCAGCACGTTACTGCAGCAGCACGTCATAGCTGCTGATAGGAACCGCTGTGGTCAACAGAACCTTTTCCACCAGAGCCGTCAGCAGTGCAAGTCGGCCGCGTCTCAGGAGCAGCATGTCGCGGCCCTTACGTGCCAGTTCTATTTTCTACGCGCGACGCCTCTGAAACGGGTCAAGTTCGACATTTTTGGGGAAGGAAAGACAGGAAATTGGACACGGAAACGGAGCGAAGCTTCCTGAGATTTTCAGAATAAAGAAACGTACTGCCTTCCGGTTGCTTTACTTTTAAAAAATGTTACTAACTGTGCGGCCCCGTGAGAAGTTATCACCTAGCTAGCGGTCTCCTTTGTTTTTCAGGTCCGTATTGGCGATTATAAAACGGACAGAACATAAAACACAAACCTTTTGGAGCCATGTTGTAGTTTTCTCCTACTTGTTGTTGTGTTTACTGATGAAGTCACTCGTGTGACTTCGTGCTCTGTCGATGACAGCTGCTCCCCTGCTGCTTCGCGTCTCATGGGAAGGGCCAAGCAGCAGCTTACTGCTGCAGTAACGTGCTGCTGACGGCTCCGGTGGAAAGAAGGGGTAAGATGAAAATTACACACCTCTCTACTTTTTAAGTGGGACAACTTAGACAGTCGATGGCTGTCAAATACATTTTTCCCACTGTGAGCTAAACCACATTAATATATATATACAAAAGTCTAATAATGCATACTGATGCATACTGAAATCCTAGATGTCTGCACTGTGGTCTTTTCCTTTGCAGGATGAAGAGCACGATGGCGTTTCTTCTGCTGTTCATGGTGGTTCTGATGGCTCAGCCCTCAGAGGGCTTTTTGGGGTTTATTCTTCAAGCACTGCCACACGTGCTTACTGGCGTTGCTAAGTGAGGACTTCAATCACTAATGATTCTACATTTTTGTAATAACAAAAAAAGTCTAGCAAACACCCTGGACCATTCTATCTAGTTTTACCGCCAGCACTGGCAATCTCACATTATGCTGAATATGTTCTTTCTTTACCAGCGCCATACAAAATGGAGATGAAAGAAAAGCAGAGCAGCATCTGGACCAGCAGCATCTGGACCAGGACAATCAACTGGACCAGGAGCAGCAGTGGGACCAGATGCTGCAGAAGTGTTCGTTTAACATAAAGATCGCAAGAAACCGATTTCATTAGACTTAAGGAGTCTGATGATGCTGTCGCTCAAAGCAATTAGATGAATAATAATGATAAATTAGGCAAAGCTTGTAAAAGAAAATCATTGTTTCAGTTCAGAGCTTTAAATGACATTAAACTTTTGTCCTGAAACCTTTTGAACTCTACAACGTCATCTGTTGCCCAACTCTTCCTGATGTTAGTATCTGTTTTTGTGGTGATAAATGAGTTTCTAAACACAAAGTAAAAGTTTGCTCTTGGAAAACTGTATTTCTACGTAGACAAAAATTAAGCATCTCTCTACCTAAACAGATGACAACACACACACACACACACACACACACACACATCTGTACAGTAAGACATAACCTCCAGAAACCCGTGGACCCGTGGGTTCTTATTCCCTGCTGGTTTTACAGGAACATCCTGAGTAATGTGGGGTTTTCACCATCATATGGCACAGACCATCCCATCACATTTTAACTGATCTACAACATAAGATGGCAGCTCTAACACCTCAGGAACAATCACCTTGTTATGAATCATTACGTTTTCTGCCCTACAAAATAAAAGCATTCAGTTAGTATAAAATTATCTAAATGAAGGCTGGAATGATGAGATAAATTTTAGTTTTTTCATTTATTTACTTGAACCAAACTGAAGGAAGTGGAGCCACGTCTGACCCAACACCGGTATTGTGATGAGATAAGATGACCGGCTGTCTGGCCTATGCCACGGTTGATGGTTACTCCTTTTTGCAACATAAACTGTTTCACAATATTAAAATTAGCAGTTCACATCAGGGCTGCTTAATTAATCCAATTTTAATCCCAATCATGATCTGAGTTTTGAACGATTATGAAAACAAAACGAGCCGATTATTTGCCCCTCCCTCCTGCGCTGCTCCGAGTTGCAAATCAAGCACACCTCCCACAGCGTAGCCAGGTTAGCAACTGTGTCACAACAGCTTTTCACACTACCTTCTTGACTTTTCAGATCTTAAAAGTGCCTATCGAACACCCCAGTAACATTTCTGATAACCCCTAGCTACTTTCTGGATAACCATCGTCGACATTTCCTGCAGGTTAGAAGAACACTAAAACCAATAGTGTATAGCGATACCTTCGCCTAGAAACGGCAAAATGTGCGTGTGCAGCGCGCCAAACACACGTGCAGCTTGCCCTTGATTGCTGTGAGACTGGGTTCGTGGATGGAGGGTTGCAGGGCACCTCCGATTGCTGTGGCTGGGACAATAATTACATCAGCTGATGAGACCTGTAAATAAATAGTTTATAAATAAGGTAGAAATAAGTTCCTCACGCTGATTATTAATAATTAATGTCTCCGAGGACATGTTGCTAGTGTGCACACTCCTACAGCACCTTGACAGGACTAAATAAAGGTCATGCAACATTTTGTGAACGTCATTAAAACATATATGTTTTTTATTTATGTTATAAATGCTACTGTGTAACTCTTGCTGTCAGTATTTGCAAGATATTGGTTGGATATTTGGGTCTGTGCTGGTTAGACTTAAATGAGTTAAACCTCCGACTAGGAATCAGGTGTTATTTATGTGATTATCTTGTTTCTTTCTTTTTCTTATTTATTTTTCTCCTCATTGTGCTCAGAACAATTTTATGACCGAATAAATAAACAAACACATAAAATCAACATTTATTGAAAAATAGTCTTAAATTATCGAGATCCCAATTTCAGTCACGATAATCGAGATTATCATTTTTGCCATAATCGAGCAGCCCTAGTTCACGTAGAGGTTTACCAGCCCGCCGGTATAAGTGTCTGCATCTTAATTAGAAGTTAGCAGGTTTGAGCCCCACTCTGTCTGTCACAGTTGTTGTGTCCTTGGGCAAGGCACTTCAGCCATGTTGCCTGCTGGTGGTGGTAGGAGGGGCCGGAGGCGCCAGCGCTCGGCAGCCTCGCCTCTGTCGGCGCACCCCAGGGCAGCTGTGGCTACATCGTAGCTCATCCCCACCAGGGTGTGAATGACTGGATGTGTCGTTAAGCACCTTGGGGGGTTGTGAAGGCACTATATCAAATACAGGCTATTTACCACAATAAAGCAGGAAATAAAACTTAGCACATTTGAGTTTTGTTGTTTCTTGTGTAACTTAGAACTAGGTGAGTTTCCATACGTGAGAAAATGTCAGGTCCTCAACGGTGCTAACGGCGTTTTAGCTTCCAGATATGATATGCAGATCAGTGATTCAGTCGATCATACTGAGTTCCTCTTTTTGTTGCATCTAACTCTCGTGGCTTTTAACAGGAATCATAAATAATGACAATTAGAATTTTTTACATCGTTGCTCTTGTTTTTATTTCATTGTACTAAACCTGCAGCTTCAGCCTTTTCCAGGGTCAAGAGGGCCTCGCAGAAGTGGAGCAGCTGAACCTGGACCAGCAGCTGCACAAGCGTTCGTTTAACACAAAGAACACAAGAAACTGCTTTGGTTACGCCTAACATCTGTCTGACAAAAATAAAAGCCATTCATTGAGTTTTGATGATACACAACGGTGAATAAACAAGCTTCTATGCAAACGAGGTTCCATTTGTGTTTTGGTCACTTTGGGTCAGTGTTTGGTGCTTAGTGGGTCTTGTTCTTGAGTGAAGATCGTTCACCTCCGCATTCAGACGCAGTGTTGAAATAAACACCAGAGACCCAAAATATTGCAATGTTTTTCTTGTGCAACATTCAAGAAATATTTAAAAAAAACTGCCACTAGTGCAAAGAAGATCTGACAACAAAAACCTCCCAAATCATCGTGTTTCACAACCTTCTGTTGTGTGATCTGATGAAAACTAAACTCCTGAGCAATGCTGACTCGTGTCCCAGTGAAAGCACCGAGTCATGGTGATGCGTTTACAGGTTGTGGTCTTAAAAACAAGGAACTTGTTTACAGAAAACAAACATTAAATCAAGTAAATGTGTAAGGTCAGGATAAACTCTATTTAGCTACCGTATGTTAAAGTTTCTTATTGTGTTTGTGTAAATAAGTGAAAACACACTTTCTCATCAGAGAACCATCAGAGTCACGATAACTTTGTCAACAAAGGAAATTTGAGGAGAATAATGCAATACCTGTATTATGCAATAATGTTATCATGGAACTGATCCCAGACCAGCCCACTCAGACAGCTTTTTAATAAGAAAATCAGCTCAACAGCCGACACAAGCTTTGCATCTCGAGTCTTTGAAGAGGTAACAGAAATTATATTTCATGTGTTTTAGTTTGATGCAAAATGGCGACGATGGTGTGTTTTTCAGGTCTGTGCTGCAGGATGAAGTTTGTTATGATCTTCCTCGTGCTCTCTCTGGTCGTCCTCATGGCCGACCCTGGGGACTGTTTCTTCAAATCTGCATGGAGGGGGGTTAAGGCTGTGTTCAAAGGCGCCCGGGCAGGATGGAAAGGTAAGTCAACAACAGTTATGCAGACTGAAGCATCAGAAAAATGGAGAAAATCACATTCAAAACTCAATAAAAGCCCATTAAAACGGCCCCAGTGTAGACAGATCTGTTTAATAAATACTAATAAAGTCCTTTAAACCCTTAAATAAAGTAGTGCTATTTGACTTTGTTTTACATTTTAGTTTTTAAGGTTTTTCTGCCTTTGTTTTATTCTTCAGGATTATCCAGCTAATCAAAATGTAAGAGCTTAAAGCCACCTGAAACATCTAGTGTTGGCAGTGGCTTCCCTGTCGGGGCCAGTGAGGTGGCCATGCCCCCCTGTAAAATAACTGATTAACACAAAACTAAATCTATGATATGTTATGTTTCTAGCAAACAAACAGCAGAGAACACAAGAAAAATTTGCAAGGTAAGCTAATCTTAGTGGCAAATATATTCATCATCTTTAGATATAGCCTGATGTTGTTCAGGGCTTCATTTGCAGCTGTTATGGATAAATTATTAATGATGCCATTAAACTTGAGAACAGCTTATTGAGCATAATTTCAAAAGCAGACTTTTAATCAGCGGTTTTATTGTTATTATCCCTAGATATCAACAACAGTTGCAAAACCCGGAGGAACAAGAGGATCAACCACAGCACTGGCGCTGATTCTCTTCATCTCAGGATCCAGAGATGCTTGCATTTATAAAACTTCACCAATCCTGTTGTGATTTGTTGCAAAACTCAACTTAGTTTGCAACAAATTCACTTGCAAATTCTCCTTTTCAATAAACTTGCAGAATGAAAACCGAAAATCTGTTTTGTGGGTTTTTTTAGATACAAAAAATAAAAAATGACAAAAACCAAAATGTTTAACTGAATATTTGTATCTTGTTGTTTTAATGATCCACGAGTTAACTCTGATTTTTATAAAAGTAAAACTAAAAAACTTCTTTTAGGAGCAACTAAAATATCCTAATGCTCACATAAGTCTAGCTTTTGTTGCATAAAGTCAACAAGATTCCACTGAATGAATCTGACTTCAGACCTGTTTTATGCTTTAAAACTACTGGAAGTGTTTTAATTTACCAAAAACTGGAATAAAACTCAATTTCGACATAAAACAAATGTATTCAGACAGTAAAAGAAAAATGTGACTTCAGGAAGTAAACATAACTTACATGCTTACACTGACAAAAAAGTGAGAAAAACATTAAAAACACAGAGACATAAATACAACTTCATTAGTGATCATTTCAATAAGCTCAATGATGTCTACATAATTCATAGAAAATCATAAGTTGCTGTTGGCCTCAAGGGCGACCTGATGGCTTGGTTATCACCTGCAAGTCCCTTTGGACAATAGCGTCTGCTAAATACATAAACATAAGTTTTTAAAGAGTAAAAATTAAAGATTTATAAATAAACATAATTTCTGTGGCAGTAATTACATTTCTATTCTCATAAATAACCCACAGGAATATCTAAGAGCAATAAGAGTCTCATTTAAATCTATTTTAACTCTCAATGTGTCAAATAATCGAGAATGTTTCATTAGTGTATTTATTTATTTATGTATTGTTAACTAAAGTTTCCACAGACTAAAGCTTATTTAGCTCATTTTGTCCATTCAAAGCTGTTTTTTTTTACAAACAGGGTTTGAGGCATTTTTTATCCATTAAATATTTTTTTAAATATCACCATAATAAATGTTGAATTACAGTTTTAAAACATTACTTTATCTTTTATACTTGGCTTAACAATTGTCATAATTGTCAGTAATCAGAAACACTGGGAGGTGTAAAAGTTGTAGATTCAGGTTTTACAGAACATGACTTATCGGATAAAAAAAACCAAATTATTCTAACCTCTACAGATGTGGGCTCCACCCATTCGGGTTATGAATGAATAAAACTAGAAACTCGACCAAGCACATTTCTCAGCATTAGGTTTTCTGTGCTGATAAATATTTTTACAGTCATCATGACTTTACATTAAAACAAACACTTCCGCAGACGTTGTAGCTTCTGAGCCGGTCGCACAGACTCTGCTTCTGTTTTGTGTTCTCACTATGGTTGGAGATAAACCATTAAACTATAATAATAATAATTAATTTGATGTATCTCAACACATTTGGCTTATTAATTATAAATAGAGATAATGCAACAGGCAAGAAAACTATCATTTATTACGCAAAGTTGTTTTTAATTGCAAAAAGTAAAAAAAAAAAATTAGTTTTTTTCAAAATAAAGCCATTTTCTGTGAATCTTGTACTAAAAACAGCCAGTTACATCTTTATATTCAGAGCATGCCATCTTCTACAGGTATCAGCCCAAGCTGCAGGTTCTGGAGCAACAAATGCAGCCATTAAAATGTACTTTTTACAAAGGGCCTCTTTGTGTAGTTCAAATACATCACTGTTTATGTCAGCCATCTATAGAACTCAATGTCTTAAAACATAAAAAAAAAAACAGGAAAGTTTTCAACGTCTGGAAACTGAATGCTCGGGGCTCTAAACATCTGTAAGGTTGATTAGTTGTACAGAAATGTCACCAGTTGGTAAAATTTTTGCATAAATTAGGGATGTTTGCTAACGTATCAATAAAAACTAACCCTTTGTTTCTGACACTGATATAAACCTATATATGCCAGGACGGCGTGGGAACGAGCCCCCGTGCCGTGAGAGTAAACATCGCGTCTCTAAAGGTGAGCTTCATCCACGTGTGTCACATGTCACTTGATCAAGAAGCAGAAAATCCACAAATATCTTTTTGGGACGCTGCAACTGTGAAAAAGGCGAAGCGCCAACCAGAAAAGCTGCTGCAGCTCACACTTCCACATTCAGCATTCGATTGTGAAAGAACGGATAACGCTAAAAACACGCTGATTCTTCCTGATGCAAGACATGAGTCTCTGCTTTCTTTTGGTAGTTTTGGTGTTTACATGATCTTAGAGGACAATATTCTGTGACTCTTAAAAAAAACAGTCAAAATGTTCAAAAACACTGCAGCCAGGGGCTTTCTGGCTGGGAAATGCTTGGCAGTGAATGAGTTAATAATGGTTTCTGAATATAATCAGTCACTCTGAGTTTTTATTGCAGGTTGAACATGAAAATAGTCTCCTACACCCATCTCCTGCATGGTGAAAATCTATAGACGGTGAAAGAAAAGCCTGACAGATCTGTCACGCTGTTAATTAACATTCATGGACTCACCTATCTTGGCTCAGGACGGGGAAGGCTTTTGTTGGTTTAGCATCAACAGCAGAGACCGTCTCGGCTAGTAGAAGCTAACCATTAGCACCCCCCACCCCCACCCAGCATGGTACGACTCACAAGGCATTTACTCCCACTAGAGGCCACTGCAAATGTACTGAATAAACGAGTCACCCACTCCCTTAGACATCTGTTTGAGTTTTATGCATAATATGTGCATAACGTGTAAAGGTTGTGTCATCAAAGGAATAAAAACTAATACAGATCATTCCTGTTTTATATTTTAATGCCAATAATATAAATATATAAGTATCTGCTGTGAGGAAACTAACTTGTATTGAATCATTTATTAAACTTCAGACATTAGAGGCTTTGGTTCTCAAACATATTTGTTTGAAAGGTGCTCAGCATTCACACGACTCACTAACCACCAGAAATCCCAAGAATTACTAAAAAACTTAACAATAGATCTTTTATTTTCAGTCCTGAAAGGCCTCATATCCTCCTGTCAAAAGCTTCCAAACACAAAAACATATTCATAATGAAAATATCTTTTATTGAACATAAACTTGCATTATGTTCCCGTTTTAGTCGATGACCCGTTTTTGCGTGTGGGCTTTTATGATTCTCACAAACATTCTCTAAAACCTGGTGAGCAGCTTTTTACTGACACCGAGTCACGCTGAGTCATGCTGGTTTTGCTGAAGAAAAACAAACAAGTCCTTTTGTGCCTAAGTTGTGCAGCTTGACCTTGATCACACGACCACAGCAAATCAGCTCAGATGCATTCAGGGACACTTGTTAAGCCTGAAGGCTGTAAAGTTTCTCATCTTTTTAATGAGGAGAGTTTAGTCAAGCGGAAAAGTCACATGTCTCAATGCTTAAAGGTGCAATTTGTAAGAATTATACTGTAAACAAAAATCACAAAACAGTATAATGTCTCAACATGTTAGATGGAAGGTTATACTGAAACAGATTTTAATCTCAGCCAGCCAGAGGGTGGTCAGTTTTTCTCCTTTTGAAAAAAGAACAAAGCGGGACGTAATTAAGGTTTACCTTCTGAGTTTATGAGGTTGCCGAATCTGCAGCAAGCTAACGCAGCAGCGCAGACGTTTGTAATTTGACACTGGCAGGCAAAAAGCTCTAGAGTTGTTTCAAGAATGAAGGCCAGTTAACAGGAGTGACCCAGAAGTTATTTGTTGTACCCCTAAAAAACCACAACACCCTTTTTTTAACTCTAATATTGGGTGAGGCAGGCTAGAGGTTAAGGTTGAGCTGACAGTTAATGGTGAATTAGAAGCAAATAGTCGATTTTTAAAATATCTAAAGATACAACTCGATATTACAGTAAAATTTCTGTGTGAAGTGAATAATGAGTGAATGGTGGCGGTAATGAGTTGTTTATAACCATAATAGCAAGCTAATAGCAAAAAGGTAAACAAACACTCTTCCTCTAAAGCCAGGGACAAACCACCGTAATAAGTGTTATGTGTTCCCTGCCGTAAAACACCCAAGAGTGCGAACACCGGATATGATAATTTATTTATCTACTTTTCAACTTTTTGTGTATGACTCATATTTGTCATCTAGAATAGTCTGGCACTGATCCGTAGCTGGGAACAGCCATGAAACCCTCAGAACGGGAGTGAGAGAGTAACATTTTTGCCTAAAAATAGACTGCAGTAACCACATCCGACCACAGGGTGTCCGTCTTAGAAATTGCACCTTTAAATCAATTTAGCTGGTAATGGCCAGAGGGACCGGTGACGTCAGGCCTCACCTTTGTAAGTGCACCTCAGGGCAGCTGTGGCTACATCGTAGGTCATCACCACCAGTGTGTGAACGGGTGAAGCGCCTTGGGGGGTTGTAGAACCCTGAGAAGGCGCTATGCAAATAAAGACCATTTACCGTTTTAGCTGTTGCCATGGGATCAGCTACACGTGTACCTAATAAAGTGGCTGGTGGGTTAATTCCCACAAAAGGTCTTTAACTCATTCACTGCCAATGAAGACTAAAGTAGTTATTTGCATGCTTTTACTGTGTGGGCATCGGAATGAGCCCCTGCACCGTGAGAACAAACATCTCAGCTCTATAGCCGATCTTCATCTGCGTAAGTCGCACGACACGTGATCAGGAAGCAGAAAATCCATGTGTTAGGAGATCGTTTTGGGCCGCTGCTGTAAAAAGTGAGGCGCGAACCGGAAAAGCTTCTGCCGATTACAATTCAACAACGGATTATGAAAGAACGGACAACGCTCAAAACGAGCGGATTCTTCCTGATGTAAGAGGTGAGTCTCCGCTTTGTTTTGGCGTTGTCATCATCCTAGCGCGCAACGTTCTGTGACTCTTAAAAAAACAGTAAAAACGGTGAGAAACGCTGGCAGCGAAGGGCTTTACCGATCAGGAAACGGCTGGCAGCAAATGAGTTTTTTTTTTGAATGAGTTAATTTTATGAAAACATCTGCTGAGAAGAACAACCTGCACACGAGGACTCTGAAACAAAGCAGCTTAATGACATTTAGCCTTCATTAACTTTGTTTTTCAAGCACGCTCTCTTTAGGCGTGACATTTAAGAATGTCAGCTGTAAAACAACAAGAAAG